TYYWAARSCCYKTATTGATTTTTAATTAAGGTTTAAAATGTCAACTTTCTTGCCAACCATTTATTTTTATGTTGTAGTTCATCCTCTGATCACTAGTTGGCAGCAATGAGCCAGCCATTTGGCTCCTCTACCTCTTGAGCGCCAGAGAGTAAGGGTAGCATTAGCATTGTAGGAGACAATGTAAGCATTGTAAGTAAACATTAGCTTTTCTTTTTTTTTTCAGTAAGAGGTTTTTATTTAATAGAATTTTTGGACAAAAAATCGCAATACAGTATATCGCAATATATTGCCTTGCTTATAGTATCGCAATATATCGGGATATATCGTATCATGACCCCTCTGTTATGATATGTATCGTATCGCCAAATTCTTGCCAATACACAGCCCTAGTAGACTTGTGCATCCAGCCTTATATGTTGGAGCCAGAGTCTGACCCAGAGCCAGAGGAGAAAGTTGGTAAGTTCAGACCTTATTTGACAGTTCCATCGCAAAATATGATAGTTCAGAAAAAGATATTTAAAAACAATAGAGAAAACTGAACGGGTTGAATAATATGACCCAAACAGAGTATAAAGATCTTTGCAGCACCGGGAGAGACTAAATTAAACCTTTCTAGAGACTCCAAGTACACAACAAAATGCATTTAACAGCTAAAAACGTGGATTTTACATATGTTCTTTTTAAGAAATAATGGTTGTAACCTTTGAAGGCAGTAAAAGGTAAAGATGGTGCATTTATAGAGTGAAGAGAAGATGTGAATATAAAGAAATATTAAATCAAAAATGACTGGTGTCCACACGACACCAGCTGAGACATTTAATGCTTAAAATTTGCCATAAGTCTCATAAAACCTGTTTCCTCCAATGACAATGGACTGTTCTGACCTCTCCCCATCCATCTTCCGTTTGCCACTAAACCAGCTGTTATTTAGCTCACACAAATGTACACTGGGAGACCACATTCCCCCCAGCTCATCCTCCAAACGGCACATCACTGCACCGTCCTGGCCAAGCATAATCATTCACTTACGGGAGGCCTAACAGGCTGATACAGTTACTCCCTGTGGGGACTGGCAGTGCACACAAACAGAAGGCTCTGGAGATGGAGCTGCCAGCAGAAGCGGTTAGGTTACCTCCATGGACATAATGGGTTAGAATAAAATCCAACTCGGGGGGGGGACCTGTCATGCCCAAAAGGCAGCTCTGAGTGTCACAACATGGTTGGTTGAAGAAAAATGAGGGATATTAAGTGGGATCTTCAATCAGAAAAGAATCATAAACCCTAAGTCACCTCTTAGCGTTACGTGCGTGCAGCCTTCATTTAGGGAGCTGCAAGTCCCAAAACGTGTTCTGCTTTCCAGGCCAAGCCTGTCCATGTGTGGGTTCAAGTGTTGAGGCCCTCCAAACCACTTCTTTTCTATTTCTGGGAAACCGACCTCCTGCTTTTGTATTATCCCTCTCTCAACCCCCAACCTCTACCAGTTTCCCTTTTTCTTCCTTCTTTCTTGTCATATTCAAAAATGCTCAGAGCCACCCAGCAACCACATTAATCTCACTTGAAAATATTCTTCATTACCAGCCTTTTGTGCAAGGTGCTTTCTGCTCCCCTGCTGACAAAAACCTACACTAAAATTTCCTGGTCTAATTGTTGACATACTGCCTGGCAACAGACTGCGAGGCAGCTCGAGGACCTGAGGTGCACGGACTGTGGAAACACTGGTGCGATGGTGGCGTTGGTGATGTCTGACGGGAAGGCAGACAGCAGGAAACAAGCCCTGGTTAGCTGTGCGACACTGCGTTGTGGGTAGACTGTCTGGCAGCATTAAATTCAATCAAAGTCCTGCATTGGAGCTGCACTATTAACAAACGGTTCAAACATATTGTTCAGAACAATGGCAGGTCTGTGGCTCAGAACGGAGAGAAGGTTGTTGTCACTTACCTGCTTTTGGGTTGTCTGGGTTCTTGTCTGGATGGCATGTCAAAGCTTTCTGTCTGTATGCTTTTTTAATCTGGTAGGGAAGCAGAAAACAACCACTAAGACACATATTTTGGACACAAAACATCAGTAAAACTTTTACCAGCTCCAGTTTGCTTATCCCAGAAAACCAAAATCCTTATAAAAATGATAATTACATTGAGATTTTTGTAAGTCTTCCATAGGAAAAATAAAGAATTTGGACCTTGGTATGAATAAAAGTCTGATTGTATTTTTTGGATCAAACTAGCACCTAAGTCAGTCTTTTCACATCAGTCGCTTTGGCATGCTTTGCACAGCAAACTGTCCAAACTATCCTCTTCTTTGCCAGTTAGTTAAATAAATATGGCCATCTAGGGTAGCAACCCAGTATTATCTGTCTTATGTGAACAGTACTGATGGAACAAAATGTTACACCACACAGCCACCAATAATATATCAGCCTGGTAAGCAATATCTTTAAAAAGTTTAGAGAGCCAAGTTGGAAAAAACAACCAATACTCTGGAAAAATTATAATGTCATGTGAAGGTTAGAATCAATTTGTTGTAACTCTGGGTCACTGCTTTAAATATTAACCATTTACTGGTCCTTCTAGGAACCAGTTAATGTCAAGGTGGTTTTCATTAGAAGTCAGCTTCTTTGGTGAAAGTCGCGTAAGCTGAAAAAGAAACTTTCCTTAAAGACCTGTGAAGGAACGCAGCGCTGAAGTTTTTTGCACGCAACCACAAAAAAACACATGCTCACACTTATATGCATTGCATGCTAAGGATTTGCCGCATACATCCCCCCCCGCCCCCCCACACACACACACACACACACACATTCTAGCTTAGCCCGAACACAAACAAAGATGTTCCGACCAATCCTAATCAAACATTTTAACATTCTGCGTGTTTTCACTCATGCTATGGGCCCCAGAATGCTATGGGCCCCAGAATGCTATGGGCCATAAAAATTGGGAACACCTTTTTTTATGTCTGGGAAATATTTGAATTTATTTACTGGCAAATGCAGCATTTCCCAGTAGGTTGTTTAAGCTTTGCATATTTACAGAGCATGCTAAAAAGTGTACAAAGCTGAATTTCCAGGGAGGAAAACAAATTATAAAGTGGAGAAAGCTAATCAGACTGAAAGGAGTATCCATTAGGATGAAGCCTTTTAAACAACATTTTTAAACAAATTTCCATGGCAACTAACTCTAATAGATTAGGCTGTACAGCTAAGCTTCTGCACAATTATACAACTTCAATGAGTCTCTAGTGAGCCATGCTCATATAATCGTCTCAGGCAGCTTCTAAACATGGCAAGTTTTAAATTATAGCTCAAAATATAAATGAGAATTTGGTTTGCTGAATGGGTTTCCAGAGACTAGACATTATTAGGGGGTAATTAGTCTCACTGTTTGGCACACAGCATCCCTCTAAAGATTGAGACTGACACGCAGGACTATGGACTAAAGCCAGACTTTTATGCTGTTGGCCTCAAACCTTTTCCCTTTTTTAGCCCCTCTCTCATTTTTCTTTTCTTTTTCTTCCAGTCACGGTTCTGTCTAAATGCCCCCAATGTTTTTGTTGTTTCTCTTCAACATACTTTTCTTTTTCAGCAACAAGACAAGAAAACCATTACAAAAACTACTGCTGTGACAAAGAGTTGTAAAGAGACAATACAGAAAAAATAAAAAACAGTCGTTATGTAGCCAATCAAAGCCAAGATGTTTGAGTTGTCTGTGCTTAAAATTTTCCCATGATACAATTTGAGAAATAAGATTATGCTTTATTTGTGAGAATTTGCCAAGAGTCTTATGATGTCTTAAAATGCAAAATGAAGTGAACAGTGCAACAGCTTTTTTTTTAACCAGAATTAATTAAATGAATCTAAGGTAACATTCTTTTTAACTTCCTTATTTGTTCTCAATTAAAAAATATTTTATGGGTTTTTCATCTTGTGAGGCTAAATGTTAAATGTGCATAAATCTATCAAACAGGACAAAAACCTAACCAGCTAAGCTGTTTCAAACAACTTAATTGGTTACGTTTTTGAGAACGTGTCATGGCCAATCATTAATATGTGATTTTTCCTCCTTGTATTTCAAGAATTTATTTATTTTCTTCATTTCTCTCCCTCCTTAATAATTTCCTTCTTGTTCTGTTCAGCCTCCATTCATCATGATATCCTGTCTCTATGTGCTGTTGGTGTTTTGTTTTAATTTTCTTAATAATGTATATTTGCTCCCTTCAGTGCAAATGTTAATTTATGCTTGAAGAGATTGGAACTCATCGATCAAACAGAAAAAAAAACAGCATTTGAAAATGATAGCACGTGTGTTGGTAGGAGCTTGTCATGCTGTTTTTGTGCATTTCATATCAATCACATAAGACTAAATTTTATATTCAGCTCTGAAACCCATAAAAACTTTTAAACAACATTATTTGACATCGTCTAGCATCTCTAATAATACTCACTCGTGACGTCTTAATGTTTTACATCTTAAATATGAAACAAACTGAAGGAAGGAAATTTCTCAGCTTCTACACTTTGGTTTGTGAAAGTAGGAGCCACAAAGTAAAAAAAGCAGCAACAACAAATTACGCAGCAGCAGGTCAACAGTAGCTTAATGGTTAGTGCATGGTGGGAAAAAAAAAAGATGACTATGTACTGCTCTTGCTACTGTCTTCACTGTATACACACATCTTGTCCTCATTACTGGGCTTTGGTGCCCATATTAAAACTGACAAACTTGTCTTGGTGGCTTCTAGCCAGTAAAGCTGTTAAGATGCCAGATCTGCCATGAACCCATCCTTCATAATTGCAACGCTGAACTATTTRCATGATATCAGATGAAAAATAACTACAACAGGAAGAAAGGAGGGGGATAGCTGCAATGGAAAGATGAGCAAACCCAGAATAGAGAAGAAAAATAAATGCACTGRAAGCAAATATCTACCTGCTCCAAACAAGCAAATCATAAAATATGTAGTTTATTATTAAGACCCATGTGTTTGCAATAAGCTGCTATAATGCACTTGTATGTTCTGCCTGAAAATAAATCACCACATGTTTCAGTGTTTACTGCAACCTATTATGTAATGTGTATATTAGCAAGATAGTAGCTAAATAAACCACAGGAAATTGTGTGTGGTCTTGGCTGTTGACATTGTTTTACAATTACCAAGCAATCTGTGGTAGGTAAAACTCTAGTAGCTATTCCTCAGCACTACAATAAAACAAACCTCAGTCATTTACAATGATTAAATCATAAACTCTAATAAGTCATTTTTCCTATGCCGTTCTCAAGACAGCCAGGGGCAGAGGAAGTTCAGTAGCATTGATAATAAAAACGCATTAAGACACAAAATTCAGAGGACATACGCAAAACGCAAGATTCCTACGTCAAAGTCGTATTTTACGAGCTGTAAAACTCAGACTAAACCCACATAAACAGACTCTGAGATGAGCTCCTTCCTTTTCTGTGTGATTCACGACTGGAATAAGTGGCCCATCTAATGGCGTTTGTCTTGACACATTAGATACATTTTTGTAAGCCCTGCTGGTTTAATGCAACACACACACACAAATCCGCTATCTCGCTCAACCATCACCGGACCTCACAGAACCAGACCTCTCAATTTTGGAGCCCAAGCCACAACCACTGACTTCCTCAGGGATAATCCTCTGGGGAGGGGAACACTTTGAAATCCAATTAAGAAATTAACTTCTTCCCTCGTTTTGGCAGCAATTTTAATTTCCCTTTGGGCCGGTGGATTTTTGATAGAGAGCTGGTTGTAGGAAAGAGGCAGGATTAAAGGCATTATGGTTAACCACTTATGGCTGAGGATTGAAATGTAAAATAAGGGAAGAAGAAGGAAAACTTAATAAAAATTGTAAAATTTGTTTTTGCTATGCAGAAATCACCATACATTAGTAATACATTGTTAATCATTTGCCAACTGTATTACAAATCTTCACATTTCTGCTTCCAGAATAAACAATATTCGGTATGGAATTATAGACATTATATATATATATATATATATATATATGCCGTTTAGATGGATTTAGATTAGATTGATGTACACCACACACGCAGCTGCCTGATGCGACATCACCATCTACTGGCCCACCTGGTATACTACAACAGCAAAATTTTAGCCTTTAGCAGGTTTACCTGTTTTAAGGCATTAATGCGTGTAAAGTCCTGCTAAAATAAAATTATTTCAATTTATACACTTCAGAAATTTGCATTGTTTGATCAAATGCCWTACGGTTACGTTAAATAACACGCTTACACGATGCAAACACAAGCTAAATGGCAACATGCTGCATTAGCCTTGTACGCAAAACCAAAAACGTCGTAGCCCTGCAGCCTTTTCATTATTCACCCGTTGGGTCAAAGTTAAAAAATAATATTTTAAAAAAAGCAATAACAGCTTTAAACAACTTGTTATCTGCATACTAACAACAAGAGCTCAATATGTTCTTACCTCTTTCGTTGTAGCAACGCTTTCTATACCGAGTAAACCATACAGGTCCAACTGTAAAATCTCTTTAGCCTTTCCCGACATTTTTATTTAAAAAAAAACCACTAAAAATATGCTGCAGCTGCTATCGCTGTAAAATTGTGATTAATATATTTGTAATTGTCGCTTTCCGGCAGCATGAGTGTGACGTACACGACCTTTCAACTAGGATGTGCTATGCATTCTGGGAAATGTAGTTTTTTTCAACCATTTCGCTATTTACACAAGTTATGCTGTTTTGTCAGAGATCCACTGAGCATCTTAAAACTAAAAATAACCACAAGAATGGAATCTATTTTAGAACATTATTCTTAAATCATACAAAAAGAGAAAGTGGCACTTTTGTTTTAATTCAAACGTTATGGCCTTTTAATAACATGGCWTCTCAAAGAGTTATTTTGAGTAGTAGTGATTTCTGTAGAGCAGCATCTGAAACAGGCCATTCATTTTCAGGAAAAAGTTTTGATTTTCAATTGATTGACTTAATTCCTAAAAATCTTTGAAAGTTGGGGTTGGTGGGTAGTTTTCCTGCACAAAATGATACCGCTTGGAAAATAAATTTGTGTATTCACTTGAATTTCCAGTATGTCTAGATAACAAAGAAAAAGACAAAGACAAACCTGAACGTTTTGCATAAACAACTGCACATCAGCAATCTTTTCCTGTGTGTGTTTGCTTGCTTTGCACACACAAAAGAAACTCTTTAAYGTTGACTTTGAAGATTAGTGGTGAATTAGATCTAATGTGTTTCATGATCCAGTTGGACAAGCTCAGGTGGTGCCCCGTGTATAATGATGCCATGTTTGCTCAGTATTGTTTAAGCATGGCATCTCTGCAACAACCAGAGCAATCCTAAAAATTCCTGTTGTCATCTTTAGGTTTCTGCCCTGTGATAGAATTGCAGCTCTTTTGATGAGCGAAGCTTATTGTTGTGTTGACGCCTTTGTTGGGGGAAATCGAAAGTAGTATCAGTGATGCAGCCATTGTGTTCCTGCCTTTCACTCAGGCTGTGAAATTCTGCTCAGTTAAACAGTCCCAACTCACAAAGGGAACAATGAAAACTGTTCTGCAGCAATTTGTCAATGCATTTTCTTTTTTATTATTATTACAAAAAGTTTAAAGATAATGAAAGCCCGAGACCTAGTTGCAAAAGTGAATAAAATCTCCTGGAAAGCATATTAATACCTTTCGGGATTAAGATTATATTCTGATTCAAAATGATACTTTTTTCATCAGATAAAAATGGAGTTATTCACATATTTTTCTATATGTTGGGACTTGTCTGRAGGCTCCACGAGGCCTCTCACAGTCTGCATGTGTTGCCTGAAGAAAACCAGATGTTTTCTTYAACTCGAGATAATAATCTGCTCCAATTTTCAGGGCTCTGGGGTCATCTGAAAACTCAAGGTCCAGGAGCAGACAGGATGGTGTGTGGGAGGTGGGCCCAACTCCTGTCTCACTGCATCACAAGTTAAACAACGGTAGAGGCGGAAATTGAGCAGGGTACCTTTCAAAATAAAACTTAAAGGAAACATAATTGAAGAGACGTTATTTTACCACAAACACTCCCACAGACAGCTGTGACTGTATCCATATTTAATTAATTATATGCAATAAAATTAAGAAGCAATCTATATATACTGTATATCAATCAATCAATATCAATATATATTTAGCTGCCTTTGTATAAACATTTTCTGTAGTGTTTGTTCCAAAATGTAGGCTTAATGTATGTAGTTCAGTGACTTGATGTTAATGTTACTTGATGATAAATGTCATTAAGTCATGTGGCATTGCATTCTGGGATGGGGGTTTTAACCTTTTCTTCACTTTTGTTTGTTTATTTTCTCATTTAAAAAAATGGCCAAATCAAGGAAACAGGCAAACAAAACCTACATTATGTGTGTGTTAAAAATATATCTCTGTTAAAATTAGGTGATGATGATAAAGACGATAAAGATGATATTTTAATTAAACTTTTCCTATAAAATTTTAGATTTTGGCGCCATGGTGCCTCAGTTGGTAGAGCTGTTGCCTCTTAGCAAAAAGGTTGCCGGATTGAATCCTGGCCAGGGACCGTTCTGGGTAGAGTTTGCATGTTCAATCTGTGCGTGTGTGGGTTTTCTCCAGGCAATTCGGTTTTCTCCCACAGACCTAAAACCTGRATGTTAGGCTAACTGGCACCTGTCCCTAGGTGTGAGTGAGTTTGTGAATGAGAGTCTTTGCATGTCCCTGTGATGGACTTGCAACCTGTGGAGTTACCCTGCCCCTCACGCAGTGACTGCTGGATATGAGCACCAGTGACCCCCCGTGAACCTGAAAGGAAGAAGTAGGTAAAAGACAATGAATAAGTTGATTTCAGATTTCTGGGTTGAGATCAGCTTCTGGTCAGTGAAAGATCCACTCATCACATCTTGTTGAGAGAAATCTCTTGAGTTTCAGACTCTTTTGCAATACTTCTTAACTTATTCTCTATCTTGGATGCTGTGATTTTGAAAAGGATGTTTAGCTAGGTGGAGTCGACTCTGGCCCTTCTTATACAGGACRTCTGTGTTCGTAATCCAGTCCAACTYGTTGTTGAGGTGAACACCCAGGTACTTGTAAGAGTCCACTGTCTCAATGTCTTTTCCCTGGATGTTCACCGGTGCTGTAGGGGGTGACTTCCATGAGGTCTATGACCAACTCCTCAGTCTTGCTGGCATTGATTTGGAGAGTGTTGGTCTCACACTAGTCAACAAAGTCACTGATGACCCCCCTGTATTCCTCATCATTCCCATCTGATACGCATCCAATGATGGCCGTATCATCCRAGAACTTCTGAAGGTGGCAGTGGTCCAAGTTGTACCTGAAGTCTGACGTGTACAGACTGAACAGAAAGGGTGAGAGGACTGTGCCCTGTGGTGCCCCCGTGCTGCAGACTACCACATCAGACACACGGTAGCACAGCCTCACATACCGTGGTCTGTTGGTGACGTAGTCGATGGTCCATGCTGTCAGCTACCTGTCCACTCCGGCTCCTTTCGGCTTCGCTTGCTCTAGGTCAGAGGTGTCAAACTCCAGTCCTCGAGGGCCACTATCCTGCATGTTTTAGAGGTTTTCCAGCTCCAACACACCTGAATCAGGTGTGTTAGAGGTTTTCCAGCTCCAACACACCTGATTCAGTGATTGAATTAACTCTTCAAATTATGCAGAAGCCTGTCAATCACCCAGCCATCAAAGTCAGGTGTGTTGGAGCAGGAAAACCTCTAAAACATGCAGGATAGCGGCCCTCGAGGACTGGAGTTTGACACCCCTGCTCTAGGTGAGAGAGACATCGGTGCTGCAGGTAGATGACAGYGTCCTCCACCCCGATGCCAGGCTGGTAGGCGAACTGCAGGGGGTCCAGTGCTGGGCTCACCACAGGACGAAGATGGTGCAGGATGAGCCTCTCCATGGTCTTCATCAGATGAGAAGTCAGAGCCACAGGTCTGTRGTGGTTGGGCTCCCTGGGTTGTGTGATCGTGGGCACTGGAACCACGCAGGAAGTCTTCCACAGATCAGGAACCCTCTCCAGACTCAGGCTCAGGTTGAAGATGTGCAGGACCACCTGACAGAGCAGGTCTGCACAAACTCTGAGCAGTCTGGGGCTGATTCCGCCCTGTCCTGCTGCCTTCCTGATATTTGTTTTCCTGAGCTGACTTCTCACCTGATCAGCTGTGAGGTGAATGGGAGGTGGGGCTGGTTCTGATGTGGGTGGGGGTGAGGAGAGTGCAGGAAGTAGAAAGTGGGGGAGCAGCAGATGGTGGGGATTAGTTGGGAGCTGTGGGGTGGGGGAGGTGGTCAACGGGCCAGAGTCAAATCTATTGAAAAACAAATTCAAGTCTTCAGCCCACCCCCGATCTGTAGGCCGTGTGGCTCATCCATTGTCCTTGAAGTGGCCAGAGATTTTATTCATGTTTCTCCAAACCTCTTGGGCTTTTTTGTTGGAGCTGCTCCTCMATCTTCCTCCTGAAGCTTTCTTTGCCCCTCCGGATCTTGTGTTTGAGATCCTTCTGCACTCTCCTCAGTTCCTCTTTGTTATATTTGAGAGAGAATGACAGCAAAAGCCTGGAAAAATCGAAATGCTCTTCAAAACACATTTAAATTGCATAACCATCAGAATAAAAGTTTGTGTCCTGATTTGAGGAGCGGGCTCCTCAAGTCAGGTGAGTCACATGCTTTTGAGGACAGGCCKGGTCAGGGAAGATGAAGGTTTTCAGTTTTTTAAATCTAAGAAGACAGAGAGAAAAAAACTCCAGTCGGTATTTTGCTGCGTTTACGCCAAGATCCTTGTCTTGGCAATGTTGTATATGCTGTTAAGTGCCAGGAGGACTGCGACCAGTTATACATCGGGGAAACAAAGCAGCCACTGTTCAAAAGAATGTCCCAACACAGACGAACTACATCTAATGGCCAGAACTCTGCAGTTTTCACTCATTTACAGGCCAGCGGTCASTCTTTCAGAGATGAGGATGTTCTCATTCTTGATAGAGAGGAAYGTTGGTTTGAGAGAGGAGTAAAAGAAGCCATTTTTGTGAAGAAAGACCGTCCATCATTAAACAGAGGTGGAAGCCTCCGTTTTCAGTTGTCCCCCTCCTACAGTGCTGCTATTGCCAGTWTCACTCCACCCCCTGTTAACAATAGGAGTTAATTAGGTGTCAACGATAGCCATGTGATGTGAGTATCAGTCACATGGAAGCAGGGCTTAAAAGCCTGAATTTTGCCTGAAACTCTCAGACTGAAGAAGTCTCTTGGAGAAGAGACGAAACATTTCATTAGAGAATAACCCGTCCAGAAGACCTGGATTACCGAGATGCATCAGGACATCCTTGTCTTATTTTGAAAGCTCCAACCGGATGTAGCTTCGCACTACGTTTCATCTGTTTTTCCTCCCAAGTGAGTGAAAGCTCAGGAGCTGAAGATATTTGAAAGCGGCCGGTCGGTTCCACATACCGCGCAGTGTCTGTCCCAACAGAGACCCCTTTAATCATCGGGGGTCCACATCTCATCAGATTACTTAGATAATTTTAAATAATGATAATAATGATGAAAAAACTGGACGACTGCAGAGACTGAGCTCCGTTATTTGAAAGTCTGAAGAGGACGCGATTCTTCTGCTCTATATGTGATTTAAAAAACAGGTATGGCATCATATTCGATCTATAATAAAGCAATATCGAGTTTTATTTGATTATTTAGTTGTCTACCGTTGACACAACACGGGACTGTCCCGTTATGCTCATTTTTGCGACAAAAGCGCAAAGTGCCAAAGATGCGCCAGTAATATTACCGCTGTTTGCGGACAGATTCCATGTTACAGCAGAATGAARACATCAAAGCTGTGCTGGTGAAATTAACTCGACTCCAATGTGAGGTTTGTTGTTTTATTTAGWTCATATTTGTGTGGTGACATGTTGTGTTTAAATATGTGCTCATGGTCCCAACAGCTGCAGAAAATATCCCAGGATAAAAGGAGAAATACGGTTTCTAAATGCTTGACATGAAACTATGCGCCTGTAGCTCCATCAGCCTGTCACTCCCTTTACAACAACATAAGGGAGGAGAGGAGCACCACATGTTTTTTATTCCTGGCATTTTAGACATAAGTACTTACATTTCTCTCAACAATACGCATCTCATATRAGCTTAAATGTTGCAATATAGCTGATGTTTTTGCCTTGCATGTGCATGTCTGTTAGTAGAATATCTCATGAATCACAGATTTTGTTAAAACTTTTACTAAATATTTGTGTGCCTCCTCCAGTTTTTCTCAAACCGAGTACTTGTGTTTTTGCCAATACAGATGACTTAGAATCCAAACATTACACAGTGACTAAACTGTTGTATTTAAAACAAGTTGGCTCCCTTTTCATATAGAAATCAAATATACAGTTTGATTTTGAAGCATTTTAAAATAAAAAAAAAGATTTTCTAATCATGGAACTAAAACTTTTCACTTGAAACTGTAACCCATTGAAATGAGTATCAATACCGGTATCGGCTCCAGGT